TGTATTTCCCAGATTTTAATACACATATTGCTAAAACCAAGAATGTATTTTGAAATCAATGATATCAAAGTAGTTACTGTCATTGCCTTAGAAATACCTTAACTAACTGACTTCATTTATATTCTCCTTTTAAGTATAAAAGGGTGATATATGATTTTTAAAAATCTCTATCCAAGTCTAAATGAGCAAAGTAAATCTAATAATTCCAAGTGGTAAGAAAGCATGGTTATAGTACTTCAATTGCCAATGACTTTTCTTTCTTATTAGTGCTTAAAGTAATGTCACTTTGAAGGGATAAAATATTGCATCAATGAAATGCATTAATCCAACTGAAATATTTAAAAGATTTTTCATTTGTGTGGAAGTAGATTACAAGAGGCAAGACTGGAAGTATGTGGATCAGTTAAGAGACTGATGGTGGGTAATGATGGCTGGCAGTAGGATGGTGATTATGAAAGTGGATAACACTGAGCATAAAGCATAGCACCAGGCAACAATTCATTTGGTTACACATAAAGTCACTATGAATTGGAGCTGACTTGATGACAAAAACCAACAATACGTGAAGGGATAGAAACTGAAGGATTTGTGATGGATTGGAGGGGGCACAGAGAGGATTTGTTGCTAGGTTAGATAAAGTCTCAAAGGAAGAGAAAAATACACAAGAATATAGCCAAGTTTCTAGTTTACGGAATTAGCCATTCAGTAAGCAGGTGAAGGCTGAGGTATGTGTGTACATGGGTTGGGAATTATAGAAGTGATGTAGGCAGTTGGTTATATAGCATTTTATCTTTTACCTTCTCAGGGAAGGTTTACTGACCCCCCAGGTAGGTCATTCAGCCTGTTATACACCCTCCTAAGCTTTCACGGATCTCTGATGGTGTTGTGTTTAAGGCATTGGCCTGTTAGCAAAAAGTTTGGTGGTTTGAACTGACCAGCTGCCTAGAAATCCGAGACAGTCTGTCTGCTTCCATAAAGATTTACAGCCTTGAAAACCCTACAGGGTAGCTGTGAGTCAGAATCAACTTGATGGCAGTGGGCTGAAGCTTTCTTCAGAATAATTTTCACCATTTAATTCAACATCATTATTTGTGATTCAGTTTTTCCTCCTTGCATTTGTCTAATTGAACTGTAGTTTCAATGAGAGCAGAATATATATGTGTTTTTGTTCACCATTTTACTCTCAGCACAAGCCCAATGCTAGGTATATATTAGGTGCTCAACAATTATTTGTTCATCACATAATTACATCTTAATTTCTGTTTTATTTCAAAATGCTTGACTACTGACCAACAACCACTTTGCCAGACAGGAAACCACAGCTATTTTGTGGGCATGAGCTCCTTAAACACTGAAAGAAAGTACAAGATGAGAGAGAAAAACATGCTAGAAAAATTCTGTAGGGAAAAAAAAAACAAAAAACAGTAATAGATATAAGTATTCCATTTACTAAAAATTATGAAATTCCAAAGAATAGAAGGGAAAACAAATGAGGGTGAATTTATCTAGATCACTCAGCTGTGTTTTAGGAAACAGTATTTCTTTTGGAAAGATTCTTCTTTTTACTCACATTTTGACCATCACATTTTACATTATTTGGATTAAATATATTTGTGCACCTATTGTAAGCCTGAGACTTTGCTGGAACCTAAAATGACTTACATGCAAGGAGATCACAAGTTCACTTTAATTATAATACACCTATTGTAAGTGCAGTGATAAAAGAATTCAAAGCTGGCAGTTCAAACCCACCAGCCACTCCTCAGAAGGAAAGTTGGGCAATCTACTTTGGTAGTGATACCGCCTCAGAAACCCAAGGAGGGGTCGCTATGAGTCACATCTGACTTGATGGCACGTAACAACAACAACAACACAGAGGCAGCTAGATGGGCCAACTAATAGCCTGTAAAGGTTTCCTGGAGGCATTATTATTAGGTGTGTTGTTGCTGTTGTTATGTGCCATCGAGTCTGACCCGACTCATAATGACCCCTCCTTGAGTTGCTGAGGTGGTATCACTATGGAAGTAGATTGCCCAACCTTCCTTCCAAGGAGTGGCTGGTGGGTTTGAACCACCAGCCTTCTGGTTAGCAGACAAGTGCCTTAGGCACTATGCTACCAGAGCTCCCATTATTAGATGTAGAGGGCGTGAAGACAAACAAAAAACAGGTGTCATTGAGTCACTTTTGACTCATGGTGATCCCAAGTGTGTCAAAGTAGAACTCCTTTCCATAAGATTTTCAATGACCAATTTTTTGGGTACATAGATTACCAGGCTTTTCTTCTGAGGCACCTCTGGATGGATTTGCATCACCAACATTTGATACAGCAGCCGAAAGCTTTAACCATTTACACTACACAGAGATATCAAGGGAGTAGTTGATGGCAAAAGAGGACCATGCTAGCTAGAGGGGCAATGAGAAATCAAAGGGAGGTTCAACAAATAGTGTATTGTGAATTGAAAAGTGACTAATTTTAATGGGAAGGAAGTGGTAGAAGATGAGGCTAGAGAGGTTGGCAGGAGCTAGGCCAAGGATGGCATTATATGACTAGATAAGAAATCTAGACTTCAACCTGCAGGCAACAAATAGCCTTTCAAGGCTCATAAGAAGGAGAATAAACTGTTCACTCATTTTCCTACTTGTAAAAATAGATTGTACATGTTCAGAGAGTATAGTGCCAGGGTTGAGAACTATGGCTCTGAAGCCATCCAGCCTGAGCTTGAATCTTTGCCCTGAGAATTATTAGATAAGTGATGTTAGGTAAATTACTTAACCTCTCTGTAAAAGAAAAATAGCATTATCTTCATGTGGTTATGGTCCTGAGTAAATATATATAGCACTTGGATAATTCTAAGAACAAATGTCATATAAGTGTTAATTACTATTACTTGTTTATTATTGTTGCTACTATTATTTGCTAATTAGATGAAAATATGAAAGATTTCTTTTGACTTTATCATTCCTTCTTTGTTTTAGCACAAAGTCCATAAGAGGAGGTCCTAGGTATCTCTCATACCATCATCAATATCTATCCAGTGTCTAATGAATAAGAAGGCTTGAACTTAATGGACGGGGTTACTGAAAGAAAACCTCAAGTTTCCCAGAACTTCAGGCTGTAGGATCTCCAAGTGCACTGGGTAGTTTTTTGTAGAAAGAATTTAAGTCTTTCATTGGAAATTCCATAGGGTGTTCAGCAAATTACACTTTTAATAGCTTATTTCCTCCTAACACATACTGAATTCTTAGAAATCTGGTTGACTGACATATTCATGTTACTTTTTCTGGGACATATCCCTTGGGGCCATGAATTATTATTATTATTGTAATTTTTGTTTTCCCAGAGACTTATCACAATGCTAGGCACATAATAGGAAATTTATAAAGAATTTCAAATAAATAAGCATTCCCAAACTTCAAAAGTTAGGTCCTTGGATAAATACAACTGGTATTTTTTTATTTTAGTAACTAGTATAAAAATATTAATTACTAGTGTGTTCAAACCCACCAGCAACTCCTCGGAAGGAAGGTTGGGCATTCCTACTTCCGTAGTGATAC